CGGGTCTTGATGAAGTCCATTTCATTGATGACTATACGAACTGTGAGGGAAACACTCTCATTAGATTGTATTCCATTAATAGAGTGAGACATGCAGTCACTTAAATAAGCTTTACATACACTTTGATTTTAGGAAAACACCCCCAGAGGGTTGACTATACATATTCACGACGGCAAAACAACTCAATGATATTGATGCAAAATAAGAATAAGAAATGACCTGGACCCACAAATCAATTATTTCTGCTTTGCAGATCAATATTTCACTCAAACATTTTGCTTGGCTTAAATTTTGTTTTTGCATACATTAGGGGAGGAATGAGACGCGGAGATTATAGATCAAAAAGCTCACAGCAATATTTACCATTCATGGAATGGTTGCAGAGCAGCCAATCGTAATGCCTCTCTTCAAAAAGATAAATTAATTGTCTGTAATGCATTCAAATCCCACTGGAAACCCCATAGTATGAGAGATAGGTGGCAAGCCCATTTGGACATTAATCCAACAACGATTCATTATTCAGCGAGTAATGAAAAATTCATATGCCCTAACGAAACAAGGTATTAATTAATTTCTTGAAAGCCTCCACAAACCTGGAGAAGGCTTGCCTAATGTTGCGTGTTTCCGATGTGACTTCATCCATCTGTTAACGTAGGTAGAGGCTCACAGTGTTTTGCTAACTGGAACAGGAAGGGTTTACATCACAGCAGGCCTATGCTTGCAGTTACTAGCAGGGCTTTGAGTACAAAAAAAGATTTAATCGGCCTTTCTTACACATCTTACTAAATAGACATCCTCAGGGTAACGAGTCGGCAGTCCCTTCTCAGTGTGTGTAAAGCAGATTTCCAGCCACATACTCCCTAACCTTTAACCTTTTCTCGTAACGCTATCAATTCTGAAACAGAAAAAGACAGCTGCAAAAAAAGGTAACAGCAAAAATGAGCCATCTATCTGGCCCTTAGTGTTAATTTCCCTCCAAAATAGCTCTGCTCTGCTCTCAGAATGGCCACTGTGAGGGTCTCGTCACAGCTAGCTGACTGACTCACAGCTGGACTTCCATCTACCTACAAGATCCCTGCAGCATCCAACTTCTACTTTCTGCTGCTGACTCTTTAGTTTCATAGGTTGTAGTTCACCCCTGAGAGCCCTGCTGCCACACAGTATATTGAACATGGGAGGAATGCTTACAATGCTATTTCAGCCACTCTAAAAAAGCTCACCTCTAAGTTATATTACCTCAACAAAGATTTATGCATGTATATGAAGCCAAGCTGTCTCTTTGAGAAGTGTTTTGCTGGACTGCAACTCTTTTAGTTTTAACTGAAGCTATTAAATAAAGGCGGTATCTTTAAAAACAATCCAACGCAGCAAATTAGATTTTATTGTTGAGAAAACACTGTGATTG